AGGAGAAAACTTGTAGAACAAGAGAGAATCTCATAGAAATATAATAAATCATTAGATTTATAAGGAAGTATTAAAGCAAAATTTTTCTGTTTGGAAATGAAAAACTAGAAGTTGTTTGCAAATAAAATGAGTCCTTTTATGTGAAGAATCTTATGGAGGAAGTTTTGAATGACTGTCATTAATTTTGATTACTGAGAGATAAGTACTTAAAATAGATTCTCATAAAATATTTTAGGTCAGTCATTTTTAATGTCTTCCAGTCACAGTCACTACCAACTTCAATATATTATTCTTCAAACATTAGTGATGTGTCCTATCAAACAGAATTGGAGCTGTCCATTTTTCAAATTAAAAATTTTATTGAGTTAATCTTATTAATTTTATATTTACATGTAGACATAAGAAATAATACACAGAGATACTGTATATACTTTAGTTTCCTTAAATAATAACATTTTGCAATGCCATAGAGTAGTAGACATTGGTACAATCCACCCATCTTAATCGGATTTCCCTATACACCTACCTGTGTGTGTGACTATATGTGTATTTGGCTCCGTACAAAATAGTCACATTTATAGGGCTCTGTATCTACCACCACAGCGAAGACACTGAACAGTTCATCACCCCAAGGAATCTTTGTGTTGTGCCTTTATAACTATGTACCCCATCCCCCACCTGTTGGTTTCCAATCCCTGGCATCCATTCATACATTTCTAGAACTTTGTTATTTCAAGATTGTTATATAAAGAGAATCATCCAGCATGTAACCTTTTAAATTGACTTTTTTCATTCAGCATAATTCCCTGGAAGTTCATCCCTGTAGCATGTATCAATGATTCACTATACTTTTAGTCACTGAGTAGTATTCCATAGTAATATATCCAGAGACATGATATAGATATCAATATATATCGATCTATCTATCCATCCTTAGGGATAGAGATATATTCCCATGGAATACTACTCAGTGACTAAAGGTATAGTGAATCATTGATACATGCTACAGGGATGAACCTCCAGGGAATTATGCTGAGTGAGATTTTTTATA